GGAGAGAGAGGGGGAGGAGGGGGAGGAGGGGGGAAGAGGAGAGGGGAGCAGGTGCACCAAGCCCGGGGCCTGGGGCTGCGCTGGTGGTCAGCAGGATGGGGGGGTCACGGGGACCCCAGGGTTGGGGCTGCCACCCGTCCCGCGTCCCCAGGCCCTGGTGGACGACACGGAGGATGTGTCCCTGGACTTCGGCAACGAAGAGGAGCTGGCCTTCAGGAAGGCGAAGATCAGGTACGTCTTGGAGACAGCGCTGCGGATGCGTTCCCTTCTTCCCTCGTTCCTGCACAGCGCAGACCCCCACCTGCGCCAGGTGCTGACCTGTGGACACCCCCCCCCAACCCCAACCCCAGCCACCCGAGCCTGCGGCCTGGGGGCAGGAAGGGCACGGATGGAGGAAAGGGTGGCATGGGAAGGCCTGAGCTGCGGCGGAAGGAGGAGCAGCAGCCATGGAGGCTCTGGGGGAAGGGTTCCCCGCCCCACAGCAAGGCCCAGCGGCTGTGAGAGGGTCAGCGGAGGCCAGCGGAAGGCCATGGGGCTGTGGGAGGGACGGTACTGATTGCTGGCAGGGTTGGCTGGCGCTGGACAGGCCGAAAGGCCTTTTGAGGCATTTCCCTTTTTGTGTTTGCACTGGAACTGGAGCTTGAGGTCTTCCTTGGCTTTTTTCTTTTTAAGGCTGGTGCTCTACCACTTGACCCATACTTCCACTTCTGCCTTTGTGCTGGCTAATTGGAGATAAGAGTCTCAGAAGTGTCTGCCCGAGCTGGCTTTGAACCAGGATCCTCAGATCATTCTGAGGAGCTAGGATTACAGGTGTGAACACCAGTGCCTAGATTCTCTCACCTGCTGGCTGACCGCCCTCCCTGCCTTTCCTTTCCCCCTCTTTTTTTTGTACACACACACACACACACACACACTTCCTGAGTCTTTTCCCAGTGAAGCTGCTTGTGAGGTCCACCTGGACCTCCACCTTTTGAGATACCTCCACATTTTGAGACCTTTGTTAAGTCAGCTCGCCATAAAAGAAACCTGGCCTCATGTATCCCCCTCAGTGTATTTCGGGGTCACTCTGCACCCTCCCTCAGGGACCATGATGGTCTTACAGGACTGTGGCAGAGAACTGGATCCAGGGCAAGGACGCTCAGGGAGCAGCTAGCTTCACGATTATCTCCCGTATGCCAGCCCCCGGCCAGAGGGCCATGCCCAGCCCAGGGGGTGAGGCCCCTGCCCCATGAAGTTGCTTTGGTTTCCTTGCTACACTCCTGCCATCTCAGGCCACACGTGTGCCTTGCAGGGTGCTTAGCAACAGTAGGCCTCTGCTCAGCAGATGCTTGTAGTCAAGGAAGTCCCCAGACATTGCCCAGTGTTTTCTGGGACACCTTCTCCCTCCTCGCTCCTCCTCGCTGAAAACAGTGGAGAGAGAAGAGTCTTCAGAACTCAGGGTTGGAAGTGCTGAGGCACGCAGGTGCTTAGTCCTTATCGTGGTTGGAGGAATAGTGGCAGCTGAGCCTGGGACTGAGGTTGGGGAGGAATTGGAGGGTTAGCAAGGGTGGCCATTGAACACAGGGGTCTAGAGGCAAGATCATGAGTTTTGGGTGTGGTGCAGTGGCTCACATCTGGAGTCTGACCCACTGAGGTGGTAGAGATCAGGAGGATCACAGGACTGGGTCAGGATGGTTACGTGCAGATTCTTTGTTGACATGGTGATGTTGAGGGAAGGTGAAATTGTGGGATGTACCTGGGGGTCCTGAGGTGGCTTTGTACAGGTGACCCCGCCTTGCTCCACCTCCACGCAGCTGACTGTGAGATGGAGCTGTTTAAACCAGCATGGCCTGGCCACAGGCTTGCTGGGCCCTGGGGACAGAGAGATGCTTCCTGCCCATCTTCCTGTCCCCACTGTCAGGTGACAGAGGTCCTGTGTGCTGGTGGGGGCTCTTTGGAGACCAGAAGAGCAGGTGTTCTTTCTCCTTGCTGGGCAGGCAGAGAAGATAGCCATGGTGTGTGTGTGTGTGTGTGTGTGTGTGTGTGTGTGTGTTCCCTCCATGGGCTTCTTACAATTCCTTCCCCTTTTGTTTTGACTTTAAAAAAACATTGTGTTTAGTTGGCTGGCTGTGGCTCACACCTATAATCCTAGCTATTCAGGAAACTGAGATTTGAGGATCACAGTTCAAAGCCAGCCCCGGCAGGAAAGTCCGTAAGACTCAAGCTTGACAAGATCCCTAGCTGAGAAAGAAACCAAAAACATAAAAAGGACTGGGAACATGGCTCAGGTGGAGAACACTTGTCTGGTAAGGTCCTGAATTCAGTTCCCCGCACTGCCAAAAAAGAAAAGATAACGTTTACTGTCTTCATGGTTTTTAGTCATGAAAGTCAGTAGTGTTCGGTGTGTTTGCACTGCTGTAAGATAGAATTTTTTTGTTTTGTAAAATTGGAACCCTTGGGCTAGGATGTCGCTCAGTGGCGACACACCTGCCTGACAAGTGCAGGTTCGATCCCTAGGACCGAAAAAGAAAATACAGTTGAAAAAATACCCCCAAACAATAAAACTGAAACCCGACACCCATTAAACAACTCTCCTGCCTGGGCCCCAAAACTGCCATTCTACTTCCTGTCACTAGGAAGCCACCACTCATTTGAGGAAAGTGGAATGCTATTTGTGCCGGTACTGGGGCTTGAACTCAGGATCTCCCACGCCCACTGAGGGTTTTTTTTTTTTTTCCCCAGCTGGCTGAGCTGCACTTCCACTTCTAGCTGGTTGATTTGTCTCATTGATTTGTCTGTCTAGGCTGGCTTTTAACAGCAATTCTCAAGAGCTCAGCCTCCCGAGTTGCTAGAATTACAGGTGTGAGCATCAGCACTTGGCCCTGGTGTGAATTGTTTGTCCTTCTGCCCTTGTGTGGCTGGCTTGCTTGACTTAGCATCGTATTCTTCAGGCTCCTGTTGTACCATGCTGAGTAGTATTCCATTGTATGATTGTTTTGCTTAGTTCTGTTGGTCTGGTCATCATGGCCAGCTCAGTACTGGGACTGAACTTGAGGCTTCATGTTTGCAGAGCAGGTGCTTTAGCCACTTGAGCCATCCCTCCAGCCCTCTTTTGGGTCAGTTATTTTTGAGATACGGTCCTCCTTTATGCCTGGGCTTGAGCTTTCCCATGTTGCTGGGATGACAGATGTGTGCCAGAGCCCCAGGATCTCCACCGCACCCCGAGCCCCAGCCCTGGTCCCCACACTACTCTGTCTGCTGTGTCCTTGGGCTGTGTTTGGCTGTGGAAGAGGTGTAGGAACTGAGAGCCCATGGCCACTGGTCACCTTGAGTCATGGGAATGGGGGAAGAGGGCAGGTGATTTCCAGACATTCTTGGTGACCAATTGCGTGAACCATGGCTACTGTCCCTGAAGGGTGATGGGGTCCCTGGGGAGAAAGAATCCTGACTCAGATCCCTCTGTTGGGGATTTGGGTTAGGAGTCGATGTCTTACATTGGTCTTTCAAGGCATCTGGAGTGATGTGGGACCCGAGGAGAGCTGGCAGGGCGAGGGGAGGAGGGGACAGGTGACAGTGCAGGTGATGGCTCGGCTGGCTGATCTAGGGACATTAGTTTGTCTCTGATTGCTGCACACACATGTGCACGCACACAGCATACTCCAACACTACTGAGAATCAGAATTGGGGGAGGGGGAGGTTCTTTATTGAGGATGGTGAAGGTGAGTTTACTATAACTGAGAACCCCTGACCCCTGTGCCTTTGGGGACCAAGTCACACTGGCCCCGGCTCTCAAATCTATTTTGCAAACAAAATAAAACAAAACACAGAAATATGACACGTAAGCAGGTCCCACCAAGAATTGACTTTAAGGAAGGTCCAATTACCAGGGAAAGGAACCCACAGAATGGGGGAACTGGACGAATTTCAGTTCTCTTTGATTGAGGCACACATTACAGATTTTGAAATTAACTCTTTCCATCCCAAAGGACTCAGTTTCCTTTTTCCCAGGTCCGGTTCACCCACTAGATTGCACAAGCGATGGGGAGGAGGAACAAGTTGCTCAAGGGGAACTTCTGCTCACAGTCGGGATGAAGCAGGGATGTCCGTCAGATCCCGGGGGGATTCCTTTGGGACCGTGAAGAACTGAAGTATTTCGTTCATACATTCATATATTCATTCAGGATTCAAATGAGGCTGGAGGCCAGATCACCCTTTGTTTGGGGATGGTGTATAGGCTGAGCCACGTAGGAGGCAAAGAGTCCCAGGGATGTTTCCTTAGTAAAGGCCAACTCAGCCGGCACTGGAGGAATCTCCAGTTCAAGACCATCTTGGGCTATGTCTTTAGACTCTGTGTCAGACAAGCAAGCAAACAACAACAAAATAAGGATGCAAAGAAAGACAGGATCCTCTCCAGTCTTTGGAGTAGGAAACTGAAGTCGCTCCTCCATCCTCCCCACCCCTCCTCTTCCACCTCTTCTAGTTGCCATGAGGTGAGCACACTCCTCCACCATAGGTTCTGCTGTTGTGGTGTTCACCCTTATCACAAACCCGCAGCCGTGGAATAAGAGAATGGGAGACCAAAGCCTTTGAAAGCAGGAGCCAATTACCTCTTTCCTCCTTTAAGTTGTTTCTCTTTGGTGTTTATTATAGGGGTAAAAAGTGGAATGTACTGCAAAGACAAGCTGGGCTCGGTAGTACACACCTGTACTTCCAGCTACTCGGGAGGTGGAGGGAGGATCAGAGGCTGAGGCTAGAAGTAAAATCAATCAATTAACAAACAAAGAAAAGCGCAGGGACATGGCTCTAGTGGGAGAGCAAGTTGCAAGTGAGAAGTCCTGAGTTCAATCCCCCGTAGCTCGTGCGTATGCACGCGCACACACATACATACACACACAAAGCCATTGTACACACAAAGCCAATCGACACTCTTCTGTGGGCTTTAAATCACTCCCAGCTGACTTAGAGCACTGAGAGATGTCCGTGCTAGGGCCACGGCTGTGATCTCGCAGTGCTTGGGGACAATGACAAGGAGAAAGGGCTCAGCCATTCCCCTGCCCCGGGATGGGGGTGGTGGGGAGAGGACATTTGGGCTGATTCCACTTTGTGGCAGTTTGGATCCTGGTGCTGTGAACTCTGGGCCCGCTTTCCATTCTGCTGGGGTGCCTGTCTTTGGAGAAGGCTGGCGTTCTGGCTGAGTAGTCCAAGAGCATCAGGAGGATGAGCACGGACTGTGCTCATGTGGCGATGTGCTCAGGCCCGCGACGCTGGCACGCTTCTGCCAGGCTTCCCAGCCTCTCTGCACTTGGGATGTCTCCTTAAAAAGAAGCAAAGAACAGAAACAAGGCGGGGAAGATATGGCAGCCAGAGGGAAGTCTGCCTGGCTATTTACTTCCATACACAATCCCCGTTTGTCTTTTGAGTAACAAGTGTGATTATTTTGCTGGCATCCACTCAGACAGCCCGGTGGCCCAGGGTGCCCATGCGGGACGGGGTAACCAAGTTGCGTGCTGTCACCAGCAGCAGGACCCCAGAGCCAGGTGGATGAACCCTCACTGTGGTTGAGAAAGGGGGATGGATCCGGCCCTGGGTTGGTGTGCCCCAACCCCCGAAGTTCTAAAGGGTTCATAAGCAATTCTCTTTGTTTTCCAAGTACTGGAGTTTGAACTCAGGGCCCAGGCACTGTCCCTGAGCTTTTCTGCTCAAGGCTACCACTGTGCCACTTGATCCACGGCTCCACTTGCAGCTTTTCTGTTAGTTAATTGGAGCTAAGAGTCTCACTGACTTTCCTTTCCCCAGGCTGGCTTTGAACCACCATCCTCAGCCTCCTGAGTAGCTGACAGGTGTGGGCAGCAGCACCTGGCTCACCTTTGTCAGTCCTTTCCTGCCTCATTCCTGGAGGCCGGCCAGCCTTGACCATGGAGTAGGGGCGGGTGTGTGCCTGCCCGGTCTCCTGGGGCTTGTGGTGAGGTGCGGATCCCAGGGGACAGGCAGAGCTGTCGCCGGGGTCTGGAGCTGCAGGGGACAGGCAGCTTCTGCTTCCTCCTTCCTCTTGACACTTGGGGTTCCCCTTCCTCCCCGTACCTTTATTTATAAGGTGAGCAGGCGCCACCCAAGAGCAAGTGGGTGTCTGGGATGGAGAAATAAATAGCAGTGCCTGAGTATGTTTTTAATCAGTGAGAAAAACATCGCCAGCTAACAAAGGACATGCAAATAGACTACACGCTCAGGTTCCTGTCTGTTCTCAAAAATAGCAAGTTGGGGGCTGGCCACAGCGCCGCGGCCGCCTCTGCGGACACAGCCCACGTGTCTCGCCGTGGCATCGTGGGCAGATTTGTTCTCCCATTCCACAGAGGAGCAGCCTGAGGCCCAAGCATGTTTTGCGGGCTCGGGGCTGTAATCCTGGCGAGGAGGATCTGGCTCCAGGCTTTCCCGGTGCCTCCCCAGCCCGGTGTGGGAGTTGGCATTTGTGCCCCACTTCTTTGTATGCTCTTTATTGTAAGAATACTGTACAGAGGGGTTACAGTTACATGCGCAAGGTACCCACTTCTTTTTTAAGAGGAACTGGTAAACCCAGAAGAAAGGACCTGTGCTCTGGAATTTTCACCCAGCTGCAATGACCAATTACTCAATTGGGGATTTTTAAATGTGAATTTTTTGTTGTTTTTTGAAAACCATGTGTGGGCCATGCACCCTGAGAGGCAATCTTGTCCCCAGGCAAGAACAAGGTTCAATTCTATGGCTTCTTTCTCTGTTCTTGCATTCAAATGCACACGAAAAGCAGAGAGAGCCATGAACTGGACATGGCCATTGCTAGACTTGGATCCCTGGATCTGACCAGCCCCTCACCTGATGTGGGAAATGGGTTCTAGCCACCCTCTCAGCAGCTGCTTCCCAGCAAAACAAGCCTGGAAGGAGTCTTAACTCCTCCTTGGACCTGTGCCACCCAGAATGTCACAGCCTTCCTGAGGGACTCGAGGATCGTGGCGTTGAGGACAGGCTATTTGATGAAGACTTTGGCTGGCGCTGGTCTTTAAAATCCACACTGCCAGTCAGGCGTGGTGATGCATGCCTGTAATCTCAGCACTCAGGAGGCTGAGGCGAGAGGACTGAGTGTGTGAGGCTAGACCTTGTTACATTGGGAGATTCTATTTCTGAAAATCCACCAGCCAGACAAAAAAGCCAACAGAAGACAAGAACAAATCCAGACTGCAGTTTCCAAAGCAATGAAGCAATTAAAGAGTAACTGTGTGTGTGTGTGTGCACACGCACACACGTGTGCATGTATACTGGTACTGGGGCTTGAACTCAGTGCTTAAGTGCTGTCTCTTAGCTTTTTCACCCAAGCCTAGGGCTCCACCACTTTGAGCCACAGCACCACTTCCAATTTTCTGGTGGTTCACTGGAGACAAAGAGTCTCACAGACTTTCCTGCCCAGGCTGGCTTCAAACTGTGATCCTCAGATCTCAGCCTCCTGAGTAGCTAGGATGACAGGCATGAGCTCTGGCACTGTTTGGCCTGCCCCTTGGCTCCGACTGAGGCGCCTCTGGGCTGTCCCCAGGCACCCGCTGGCCACCTTCTTCCACCTGTTCTTCCGAGTGAGCGCCATCGTCACCTACGTGGGCTGCGACTGGTTCAGCAGCAGCTTTGTGGGCTGCTTTGTCACCGTGCTGCTTCTCCTGGCCTTTGACTTCTGGTCGGTGAAGGTAAGACCGACTCCGTGGGACTCCGGGCTCTGCGGCTCAAGCTCGCTGTGCATGTGGGGCCCGCAGGGGCTTTGGGCTGAAGGGACTCCGTGCCATGTCGCTGGACACGAGGGTGGAGAAGCGCATTGTAGAGTGTTGAATAAAGGGCTCTGGGTATCCACAGTCGTGGTTTAGAATATGTACCATGAGGACGCGGACGCATATGTATGGTGTTTGATGTTGGGTTCTTGTTACACTTTCATATGATGCAACATATAAATAAGTTACTAGATGATTTTGGGGAGGGAAGGTATCTGCCACTTTTTTTTTTTCTAATACCAGAGTTTGAACTCAGAGCTTTGTGCTAGCCAGGCAGGCTGGCTGAGCCTGGCTAGCTTCACGGGGCAGGCATGAACTGCGATGCTCTTATCCATGCTTCCTATGAAGCTGGGATGACAGGTGTGTGTTACCACACCCAGCTGTACATTGGCTGCCAAGAGGTGTCTCAACTTTTGGCTCAGGCTGGCTTCAATCCAAGATCCTCTTGATCTCTGCTTCCTAAGTAGCTAGTATTTGCAGGCTTGAGTTGCCATGCCCGAACGAGTCTGTGGCTTTTTCAAGTCAGTTTCAAGGTTCAAAGCTGATCGGAAAAGCCAGCCCAAGTTTACCAGCTCCCACTGTGGCCAGTGGCTTCCTCAGGGGTCTTTTTGTCCATCTGCCTCAGAATGTAACCGGAAGACTTCTGGTGGGCCTACGGTGGTGGAACCAGATAGATGAGGACGGGAGGAGCCACTGGGTGTTTGAAGCCAGAAAGGTATGCTGCAAGTCAACGTGGCAGCATGGGGTCTGGGGAGACGCAGCGTGCAGTTGGCCTGGCTCCCCTGGAACTGCATGTATCTGGATACACACACACACACACACACACACACACACACACACACACACACACACTCCTACAGATCCCACCGGTGTGGGAGCTCTGTGAAACTCATGTCCACCCACAAAACCCGTGAGAGCCGTTCCGCCATCCTCACAGGCCTCCCCTCACCACGTGGCCACCACGGAGGCCGAGGCGCGCATCTTCTGGCTGGGTCTCATCATCTGCCCCCTCATCTGGATGGTGTTCTTCTTCACTACCTTGTTCTCCCTGAAGTTGAAGTGGCTGGTGAGGACGGCATCAAGCCCGTGGTTGCGGGGGCGAGGCGGGGCAGCGGGTGCGCTTCCCCCGCAGCTGAGCAGCTGCCTTGGCTCTGAGCGGCTGGCTTTGCTGTCCTGGCGCAGGCCCTCGTGGTGGCCGGGATCTCACTGCAAGCTGCCAACCTCTATGGCTACATCCTTTGCAAGATGGGCGGCGACAGCGACCTCAGCAAGGTGGCGGCCAGCTTTCTGTCGCAGACAGTGTTCCAGACGGTGCGTGACGGTCCCGCGCCGACGGGAGGCTTGTGGGGGAATCGCGGGTCCTTCCCCACCAGTGGGGCTGATAGGAAATACACACAATTGTCCATCTCAAACCCAAGGCTGCAGCCAGCTCCACATCGCCTCCAGAGCTGTCGTGGTCTCCCACGCTGAAATGTCCTCAACACTAGTTCCCACGGCCTCCCCAGTGGGGGTGCCCCCTATTCTCTACCCATGGTCTCGAGGGACCACTTAGACACCATGTCTGTCCTTTGCGGCTTCCCTTTGGTCTTAAGAGGAATCACAGGGGTTGTTCTGGTTTGGAGGGACAGGTGAGTGTGTCACAGATGGCTGGAGCCATCCTGAATGGAACGAGGCTGCAGAGGTCAGACCCACAGCCAGCAGGTCCGCGGCCTCCTGGCCAGTCGCTCGCAGCAGGAGCTCAGAACCATGCCGACTCTTCCCTTGCAGGCCTCTCCAGGGGACTTCCAGAAGCCGGGGCTCGGGCTAGAGATCCATCAGCGTTAGGTGAGCGTGCATCAGCCCCGGAGCTGGGAGCACCTGCTCTGAGGACCCAGCAGGGCGAGAGCCACGCTGCACAGGCCGCCTGGGAGCTCTGAGCGCCGCACCCTACCCCCCCCCCCCCGTCCTCACACAAGCAGGCTTGAAGGGAGAGGAGGGAGGGAAGAGAGGAGGGGGCTCCTCTCTGATCCGCTGCTCTCTGTTCCTGTGTCTCAGCCTTTATTCACACCTGTCTCTCAGGAAGCCTTGAGATTCGCTGGCATGTGAGCCTGGCCTGGAGATGACGATGTGTGGTAACACCCACCACACGCGGACCTCTGTCATATGGTGACTCGGGCTCCTCCAGAGATTTCTGACGGACCCCCAGCTGACCATGTGCACTGACCCCAGAGTGAAGCCCAGCATGAAGCTCTGCCTCCGCTAGATTCTTCGGATGGTGAGCATGGGACAGTTGTGGAAGCCACGCCCCTACCCTGTGCTTTCCCCCCCCCCCGCCCCTGCCCCCCAGGCTGCGTATCCTTAGAGGTCGGGGCCACAGGCAGGGGCTCCTGGTGGCTTCAACAGAGCAGCCTCCGTGGCCCTGTCCTGGGACTTCCAGAAGCAGGCCGCACAGGACAGGCTGGGAGAGATCTTTTATTTTACAATAACGCGCGCGCGCGCGTGTGTGTGTGTAAAGAGGGGGACTGAAGGCGCTCTGAGTGACAAACCAGCATCGGGTCCTCACACTGTCGGGCCTGAGCGATGCTGCTGGGGCCTGTGGCTGGAAATGGCTGGTCCTCACTGCACCCCGAGTTTCAGGAGCTGATGAGGTTCTCTCTGTGTGGCTGCTGGGAGGCGCAGAACTCCTGGATTCCTGGAAATCAGATGAGATGTGAGAGCTCACTGTCACCTCTGCCTGAAGCCTGAGGCCACCGCGGGGCTGTCAGCTGGATCTAGCTGGTTTGGGATTTTGTAGTGTGTTTTCAATGACTCCAATGAGAAGGACTTCCGTAAATTTCACCCTCTGTAAAGCCATGGATTTGTTCACAGCGCTGATGAGTGGGGACATGTCCCATGAGCCCCTCTCCCCCGCTGGGCACACCTGAGGCCCGGGGCGGCCACTGTGATTGTCAGTGTGACACCGCCTGCTCGCTCAGCGCGCTTTGCTCCTTTACATGCCCCGGCCGGAAGGTGTCTGCCAGCGTGAGGCTCAAACACTTACTTTGGATTATATTTCTGTAGGCTAATGTGGCTGGCGAATCTGGTGCTTCAACAAAAAAAGACTGGCCTTTGTCACAGCTCTTACCTAAAAGATAAGAGACACATGGGAGCCAGTGAGATCTCTGCAGCCAGGCTCTGGGGCTCTCTCTGTGCCAGGGTCGATGTGTGGGTGCCTGGGCCCGCCCCACTCGTGGAGCCCAAAGCTGGGCAAGAGCTGGGGTTGCCAGGACCTTGGCCAGGTGCCCTCCACACAGGCCCCCGGCTGCCATTTCTGCAAGTGAGCAGGGCTCTGGAGAAGTGATCTGAAACTTGGACAGGGGTGTGGTGGGGGTTCACATAGTAAGATCAGCAACCCAGCACAGGAGGAGAGCAGGACTAGTTCTCTAAGTAAAAGGATAATGACACCCATGGAATACAAGAGAAGATAGCAAAAGAGAGAGTCCAAACATCCTGGTGTGCTGGCAGCCATCCGTCCAGAACTGGGGGGCTGGGAAGGTGGCTCAGTGGTAGAGTGCTTGCCTTGCATGCATGAGGCCCTGGGTTCGATTCCTCAGCACCACATAAGCAGAAAAAGCCAGAAGTGGCGCTGTGGCTCAAGAGCTCTAGCCTTGAGCTGAAGAGCTGAGGGACTGTACCCAGGCCCAGAGTTCAAGCCCCACGACCGACCAAAAAAAAAAAAAAAAAAAACTGGGAACAATATGGCGTGTGTACATCCTTCAGGTCAACAGCAGCTGCCAGGACCCGGGGACCATGTGTGACCCCAGGGCACAGGGCGAGGGAGTGGCTGAGGTCGCCCTCTCTTCTCTCTACTCCAGCATGACATCGGGTCCCCTCGTGTCCTCTCAGGCATCTACCCCACTAAGTCTCCTGACCCCTAATCCTGTCTTAGACCTGCCTGAGGCAGAGACACGGCGTCCGGAGGAGCAGCTGCCCACAGGGCCTTCGGCTGGGGCCGGGCAGCATGGTGGCCTTGACTCGTTTCTCCTGTCACTTCTCTGCTGCGTGTGTCCTTTCCTCTCCAAGCCAAAACACTGACCACTGGCCCAGACCTGACGTGCATCTCTCAGTCCCTCTACCCTGACAGACAAAACTGACTCCTGTGCTTGGGTGCAGACCCAGCCTTCCCCACAGCCGCTTTGCCCTTTCCGGCCAGGACCCCCGCCCCATGCCAGCAGTGCAGCACACGGGCACAGCCGCCTCGCGCTTCCCCGGCGTGGCGGGCTCAGCTGCGTGAGCTCAAGCCTTCTCAGGCAGCCAGGGGTCAGGAGCGGAGGAGAGTGGGGGTGGAGGCAGGTCACCCTCTCTCAGGGCAGAACCCTTCAGAGCGCCAGACCTACTGTCTTGAGCACACAGGGGGTTAAAGAGCCTTTATTTTGTGTGAACACACCCCAGCTGTTCGGAGCCTCACACCTCCATGAGGTGGTCTCAAACCTACCCCAGCTGCCGTGGCCACTGCCTGTCCCCCTCTCCTGGGTGTCTCCCTTCCCTAGTGCCACTTCCAGTGTCCGAGAGAGTTGGCTTTGCTCTCCCAGGCCAGCTCCAGCAGCCCCTCACAGAGACTGCCCAATTAGGACATGTCTGCTTCAGTTTCCCCATTGCTCTGATGTGGCAGTCACACGGACAGCCTCTCAGGGTGGCAGCTGAAGCATGAGCTCCCGGGGTCTGGCTCTGATGCCCGCGGTTCCTCTGTGCCTGCCCCACGCCATGCCAGCAGGGCTGGGTGGGCAAGAAGACCCCACCCCGCTGTGCGGCACCCAGACTCACCCACCTATGTGCGGGTCCAAAGGCACCTTGCCGAGGAGAGGGGTGCCCAGGTCCTGGCACAGGGCCTCTGCACCCCCGGTCGTGGGAGGGAACACCTGGGATTCTTTCTGTGAGGACGGCAGAGGGGGAGGGAATTGTGAGGCGGCGGCCCCCAGCTGGACCCCGACACTGCCATGCCAGCACTCTGCTTCAGTGAGCCGTCCAGGATCGGGCCGGGGGCTGGGGGCCAGGAAGTGGGGTCTGTGCGGCCCCCACGCCCACCCTCACCTTGCACTTGGGGCAGACGAAGCTGCTCATGTTCTCCACCACCCCGATGATGGGCAGCTTCACCTTGCGGCAGAAGCTGATCTCCTTCCGGACGTCCTGGAGCGAAACCTCCTGCCGAGGCCAAGTAGACAGTGAACCTGGCGTGGCGGGGCAGATGGCCGGCGGCACCCTCTCCACGGTCTCGCGGGGAGCCGTCTGTCCCTGGCCACCCTGGCGTCGCTCACCTGGGGGGTGGTGAGGACCACCGCCCCATCGATATGCGCTGCGGCCAGATACTGGACCACCGAGAGGTGCTCGTCAGAAGTGCCGGGCGGGGTGTCCACGATGAGGTAGTCCACGTCTCCCCAGTCCACGTCACGCAGGAACTGCTTGATCATGCCTGGAAGGGAGCGGAGGCCGCTGCCGGGGAGAGCACGTGTGCCTGGCTCTGTGCCCCGCAGCAGCGCTTCCCCATGGGCAGCTCCAGCCTGGAACCAGACACGTCTGGCTGCCCACAGTGAGGCATCTGGGGCACATCTGGCCCCCGCAGCACTGACAAGACTGCACAACTCTCCCCAGCACACCTACGCGCTCTCCCCAGCACTGCTGAGCCACCAGAAAACCCACTACAAGTAGTCCCAGGGGCTTGGAGACCAACACAATAGAAATTAAAAATTGTATAAAAGGTTGGGTCAGCCTCAAGGCTCTGCTCAACCCAGAAGACAGGGGCAAGCAGAGGCATAGAAATGACTGGTGACACACGGGCCTAACCTGTGTGGGGCCTGCCCCCCCCCCAGCCCCCAAGGTAACAAGACAATGAGAAGGACCACAGAGCCCCGCAGGTGACATGGGACAGGAGAGGCAGCAGGTGACAAACCGCTTTTCTTGGGTCCCCTCCAGATGACAGCGTCGTCAGGGCTGCTGAGCAGGAAACCCACGGACATCACCCCCAGGTTGTCCTCCACGTACTGCAGGGGACAGCAAAACTCACTTCACCCAGAGCCGCACGGGGCCACTCCCATGCCCTACCCGGGGCCTGGCTGACAAAACTGCTCAGGGACTCGATGCCACCCTGCCCAGGGCACCGTCCCGTCATCTCCTTAGCCGCTTGGCAAGGCTGGCAGCCAGGGCCCTGGGCTGCCAATTTTAGCCTATTATTTCCCAGGGTTTCAACTGGGCCTGGGGCTTGCTAGCCAGGCACTCTTCCACTTGAGCCACGCCTCTAGCTCTCCTTGCTTTTGTTCTTTTCCATATAGGGTCTTCAGCCTTTATGCCCAGAGCAGCCTGACTGCAGTCTTCCTGTTTATGCCTCTCATAAAGCTGGTAGCACAGGCACACACCACCACACCCACCTGGTTGATTGAGATTGGGAGTTAAGTTCACTTTTTCCTGGGTTGGCCTCGAACTGTAATTCTCCCAATCTCTGCGCCCCGTCTCCCACCAAGTAGTTGGGATCAGAGGTGTGGGTCACCCTGCCCACATAGTTCTTTGAAGTTTTACTGGAATGCAACTGATATTTAGTCATGTTTCTTTCCAGCTACGCCAGCAAAGAATATCGGTCTATGAGCTACAAGTATTTACTGTCTGCATCCCTTGATTGACAGTTTGGCAATTCTGGTTTTAACAACAGCCCCAGACCCCAAAAAGTACCTCGTAAAATCTGAGGCCTAACCCACAGGTAAGTGTAGACAAATGCCGCCAACGTGCTGTACAGCAGCGTGACGTCACTGACATACGTGTCACTACTTCACAGTCAGGCAGGGAGGGGGGACTCACCACAGGAGACCAGCCCGAGCCGCTCTGGTGAACCTGCGTGAACACAGCATGGCATCTGCATGAGCCACACCAGGCCTCCACACATGAACGTGTCATCTGAAGGGGGCCATGTCCTCAGTCCAAAGCACTGCAAGAGTCTTTCTGGGGCTCTGGTTCATTCTAGTGGGGAACCAAAACTTCCCAAGCTCAAATGTGACTCTTGAGTCTGTGAGGTGTTTAAAGGAACCAGAGAAACTGGCTGAGGGTTGCAGCGCTGACTGTGGGACGCCTGCGTCTTCGTGGTGCAGGGATGAAGGGAACTGCTCTGGCGGCACCGCTGGCCCCAGGCCTGGCCCGAGAGCAGTGTGTGCTTTGGCGTTCTGTGCTGCCCCCAGCGGGGCCTCTTGTTTATGAAACTAGCACAGAAGCAACGTCAGATTCCACATCACTCTTGGGAATTGTGCTTTATAATTTTTCATGATTGGTTATGTAGTCCAGGCTAGCCTTGAACTCAAGATTCTCCTGCCTTAGACTCCTAAGTACTGAGATTATAGGCGTACACCATCACACCCAGTGAAAATTATGCTCCTTTAAGCCCCATAGAACAGTGAAAACTAAAGGTCTGATTTTAAATCTTACTTTTTAACAGCTTTCCTGAGACACGCAGAACACACCATACAATCTGTGCGTGGATAGCGTTAGTGGCTGCTGTATATTCGTAGAGCTGCGTGCCCACACCACAAGCAACGTGAAGCCATCAACTTCTGTGCCTCCAACAAGAAACCATGCCCCCAGCCTCCCTGCATCCCCAACACAAGTGACCCCAAATTTGCTCGGTCTCTACCAATTTGCCTATTCTGCACATTTCATATATCTAGAATCCTATGATCTATGGGCCTTTATGACTGATTTTAAAGTCTTATTTACAAAGACAAAAACCTACTCCCTTTTTATTTATAGTTGTTTCCTAAGTCATAATGTGCAAGGGCAAACGTGGTGGCCCCGCAGCACAGAATTGCTTCCTTTCCTTTTACTTCTCTGTCAGCGTCTTGCTACGTTGCCCAGGCTAGCTTCCAACTCCTGTGCTCACACCATCTTCCTGCCTTGGCCTCCTGAGAAGCTGGGATTACAGGCATGTACTACCATGCACATTTAAATGCTCCCACTTATCAAATACTTAGTTGATACCCATGTTAGGTGGACAGAAAATGTGTTCCTGATGGAGCAAGAGATGGAGGACATTTGGATCCTGCTTTTTCACTTGGCAATGGTTGGCGTCCCTGCCCTCTAACATCCTCCATGCCACCAGGACTGGCCACATTGGCCTCCAGCAACCCTCCCAGGGCCAAGGACAGGGCAGTTGTATCAGACTCCTGCCCCTCAGCACCCCCGCCCACCTTCCATGCACAGCTGAGGACAGCTTCCCAGCGGGGAGGGCCGGCCTCTGCATGCTGCTGGCCCTGTCCTTGCCTGCGTCACTCCCCAGCCCCCAAGTCTCAGTTCCCCAGGGGAGACCACAGCACAGAAAGTTTCCCTGGCTTCCGGAGACAGACGGCAGAGCCCGGCCCCAGTGTTTGTGGAGAATTTCCGCCTCTCACTTCTGCATTTCGCTGCCGTTTCCCTTCCTGAGAAGGCAGGGGAAGCAGGGCTCCATATCCACTTCTGCCCCCCGCCTCGCTGCTGCTGAAGGCCATGGCTGCTGCTACACACAGGCGTAAGTGCGACATTTGTCCTCTAAGACAATGGGCCTTACCTGTTCTCCTTCCAGCCCCATTATCTTGGGAATCGACGGTCCACAGATATCGATGTCCAAAAGAGCAACCTGGGGATGGATGATGCCAGGGGTTACAAAACTCATGGAACAGAGGGGAAAACAGAGAGCGAGGGAAAGGGGGACAGTGTCCAAAAGGGAATATACCTGACTTTACCTGCCTTATGTAACTGAAACCCCTCTGTAAGTCACCTTTATAAAAACAGTTAAAAAATAAAAGTAAAAACTTGCCAGGGACCAGTGGCTCACACCTGTAATCCTAGCTACTTAGGAGGCCGAGATCTGAGGATTGTGGTTCAATGCCAGCCCAGGCAGAAAAGTCCGTGAGACTCTCATCTCCAATGAACCCCAGAAAAAGCTGAAAGTGGTGCTGTGGCTCAAGTGGTAGCGTGCTAGCCTTGGGCAAGGAGCTTAGGGATAGCACCCACCCAGAGTTCCAGGCCCAGGCCCGGCAAAAAAAAAAAAAAACACACAAAAAGAAACCAAGAAACACTTCATGGAACATACAGTGGAGGGGGAGGCAGGGAGAAGGCAGGAGGAAGCTGGGCTAACGTGGAGCACTTGGAGGTCAGGAGTGATAGAACACGGCCCTGCCAGGTCACCGACGCATGGTTCAAAACTCCCAGTGGTCATCGTATTGTGGGGTAAGGCCATGTGACCACTCAACTTCAGCCCATTTACTACCTGGGCACAGGCATTACCGTCTCTGCTTTACACATGAGGAAACAGGCCCACAGATGCCCAATGCCCCGTTCCATGGGAGAGGAAGAAAGCTGGGCTTAAATCCCAGTCTGCAATATGAGGGCTCTTTCTCCCTCCCTGCAGGGTCTGAAAGGAGGCAAGAGACCCCAGCCCAGCTCCCACCAAGTCCCATTCTCAAGAGAAACTTAAGGGAGCAGAGTGCTCACTGGGGGCTTAGGCTCTGTCTCAGGAGATGCTGTGGCCCACACCCTCCACGTAGGGCTGAGGAAGGTCTGAGAAGGCCTTCAGGGGCTGGGCGAAGGGCAGGACCAGTCAGTATTCATCTCCACAACGGGGATGTCTCACATCAAAGGGAAGCACCCCGGCTAACTTTGTACCTTGCCTCAGGTTTGTTTCTTGCTTCTCTCTGTAATCTCCCTGCGTGCCTGGCAAAGCTGCGGTCTGGACCCCACTCCCCCCAGCTCCCGTGGGTCTCTTGTGCCCTCTGGCCAGACCCAGGTGTGGACAGGGCTTCGTTCTCACCTGTTTATCTCAAACTTCAGGGGCCATCTCACATAAGTGCCTCAGACCTGGGGGAGGTGTGGCCATCATGGTGACCCCAGCAGGCCTTTCCCAGTCCCACGCTTCCTTCTGGAAACAACTACATCCGTTTCCTTCCAAGGATGAGCACACCCACACCACAGCAGGGAAATGAGCAATCCACAGATGGTGTGCTCTTCCTCTGGAGACTGGAATGGCTTCTGGCCAGTTCTGTACCCAGATCACTGGCCTAGACCCGTTACATGTGCCGCTCAGCAGGACCTGTGATTGCTTCCCCTCCTGTCTGAGCCAGGCTGCCGAGCCCTGGCCTATAGCAGTCAGAATCGCTTCTCCCTTCAGGGGAGCTGACAGCAAGATGAGGCCTCGCCAGTTAGGTGGGGAGTGAGACAGTGGGGGCAGTCAAAACCCTAATCTGTCCTTTACCCAGCACTCCCAAACCGTACTTAGGAAGACAAAGGGTTCTAGTGCTAGTCTCCCGAGGCTGTGTCATCTCATACGAGATTGCTGCCTAACTAAAAGGACAGGGAGATTTGGACTTATTCTGCACGAGCTCTGTGCGCATATGCGCGCGCATGCGCACGCGCACACGCACGCGCACACACACACACACACACACACACACAGAGTCACTGTCTTTGCTTTCCTCAGAGTGGGGTAGCAGCGATGGCTATTAAGTCATTCATGGAGTCCTTGCTATCAGCAGGCACACATCTCCCTTATGGCCTGAACCCATTTCACATGTGGCAAGGCAGAGATAGAGACAGCCTGAGCAGCTGCCCAGGTCATGGCTGTGGTTTGGAGAAGCTGTGACATGACCCACCACACCTCCACTACACAGCTGTCACCCAGAGAGCAGCAATGGGCGCCACAAGCGTTCCTGCTACTGTGCACTTGAACAGAACCAAACATTTGTCCAGAAGAGCCAAATAGGAAGCACTCTATGGGCAACATCAAGGCTAGTATGGAGTACTTACGTAACAATTTAAGAGCAATCACTTAGAAATGTAAGCACTGATTGTAGCTTGGAGGAGATGGTGAGTTGGATTTAGCCCAATGAATACAGTTTGCAGACTTTTGGCTTAGATAACAGCCACATGAGGTTAAAGTATTGAAGAGTCTGAGCACAACATAGGAAGTTACAGACTGTGAGGAGAAATGGACCCTTGCAGTCCACGTTCCTGGCTGGAAAGCCCAGGGAAACGGCTCAGCCAACCACCCGACTGTTTCTTGTTCTCCACAGGGGCGGGGATGGTGAAAAAGGCCCAGTGTACTTAGTGTAAGGAACCCCTTCTCCGCAAGACATCATGACCCTCATCCCTGGGCCCCACCTGCGTGTTTTCATCTTCAGCGAGGCCATGGGCGAGGTGAGCACTGAAAGTGCTTTTCCCGACACCGCCTTTCCCAGACAACACCAAGACTTTGTGTTTCACAGTCTTCATTTTCTCTTTGATCTCCTCTATGGCTGCAAAGAAAGCAATTCAGGTAATGAAGTCCCTGCCTGAGTCACTGAGTGTCATTCCCCCTGAGAGCAGGAAGTGTCACAGTCCTAGGGACTGTTTCAAAGGATCCTGCGTGAGGTGCCACTTTGTCGAGTGTGGGAAGGAAACGAGACTAGCATCACATCTGAACTCTTACCTGCTGGTTTCTGGGTTTGTTTCATCCACTAGAACAGGAACCCAGGAGGATGGGGGCTGTCTAAAGGAAGCTGCCACCTGTTGTCCTTTCAGTTCCTGAACAGAACCTTCCAGATGCTAAAGGTTCACAACCTGGGCAAAATTCCCTAGGGGACCCAACTGTCAACATCTAAAGACATTCATGGAGTGTCACTGCAGGGGGTGCTGCTGACATCTAGTGGTAGAGGTCAGGGGTGCTCTAAATGTTCTATAGTGCACAGGACAATCAATACCTTGTAACAAGGAATGGTCAGGTCGGAAACACCAGAAACTGGTGCTCAGGATGAGAAATCCTGGTAGGTTTGTCATAAGGACCTGTCACCTGTCCTCACTTACTGTGCTTTCAATCTTCCATCTGATTTCAAATCCTTCCAATGACAACAGAATTATTTTTCTCACTATTTTTGATGAGGATCAGGAGGTTAAGAGAGGTTAAGACCCTTGTTCACGGTCAAGATCCAATCTCTTTGAACTCCTTCAAGATTCTTCTCCCAAAGCCAGACACCAATGAGTGGCTCACTCCTGTCATCCTAGCTATTCAGCAGGCTGAGATCTGAGAATCTCCCTTCAAAACCAGCCAGCCAGCCAGATTCTTATCTCCAATTAACCAGAAAAAGCCGGACAGAGGTGTGGCTCAAGTAGTAGACGGCCAGCCATGAGTGGAAAAGCCAAGCAAGAGTGCATGGCCCTGCATTCAAGTCTTTCTGCTGTTGAGGCAGGGTGTCCCTATGTAGGCTAGGGTGGCTGATAATTTCCAATCCTTCTGCCTCAGCCTCCAAAGTGCTGGGATTACAGGTGTGCACTATGACATCTGGCTTGCCTTCCTGCTTTTTTCAAGACCCTCAGATTCTCAAAATCGATCCTTCTGGGTACTTTTTCTTTCTTTCTTTTTTGTGTGTCAGTCGTGGGGCCTGAACTCTGGGCCTGGGCGCTGTCCCTCAGCTCTTCAGCTCAAGGCTGGTGCTCTACCACTTTGAGCCACAGTGCCACTTCCAACTTTTTCTGTGTATGTGGTGCTGAGGAATCGCACCCAGGGCCTCATGCATGCAAGGCAAGCGCTCTACCACTGAGCCACCTTCCCAGCCCCCTTCCTGGTACTTCTTGCCACTGTGATTTATTTATTCTCTTGCTGGACACTGGGATTCGGTACCTTTCATTTACCGCTCAGGCCCCGCCCCCATTTCCGCTCTTTTCCCCGCCTTTCTCTTTAAAAACCACGCCTCCCACGACATAGTACCTGTCATTCATCCTCCATGTCCCGCCCTCTCATTACCGACGCGATCTCCCCCCCCTCCCCCCCCACACACCCCGCCTCTTCCGGGCCCGAGGCTTTCACTTCCTGTGGCGGCCTTGCCCCTTCCTCACCCGGGTCCGGGGCGGCGCCGGCTCCGGAAGCACACAGCCGCTGGTTGGGGCATCCCTGACACGAGGCCCCGCGGCCCGCCTGGGCACTATCGGCCCCGGGACAACCTGCGCAGAGACAAAGTCACGGTTAGAGCCGCTCGCTGCCCTCCGGCCCTGCCGCGCACGCCCGCCGCGCCAGCTCACCGTCAGGCGCCTCCTCCATTCTGCCGCTCTGGTCGCCGTCGCGCCCACCGGAACCCGCGGCGGTGCACTTCCGCCTCGCGGGCCCAATCTACCGCTCGGGCCGCGCGAAATAAGTCTGGGAAACTAAGACTGCGCACGCGCACACCTCTTGCAGAGTGGGCGTGGCCCTCCCGGGCAGCTGGGCTGGGGCCGGGTAGCTTAAATGCTTGTGGCCCAACAAGCGTAACGTTGGTGCGGCTCTGTTATCTCACAGCCAACCTGTATTCCTGTTTCCTCAGAGGTTCCAAATCCAGGAGTACTTGTTAGGTCTCTTCAGCCTCCTTTTTAATCTCTATTATCCTGGTACATTCCTGTTCATGATTAACTTTTTCATTAAAAATTGTTTTTTCACTATGGATTCGTGGGTGGTGTTGGTTTGTTTTTGCAGTATTGGGGGTTTAAGTCAGGGCTTCAAACTTGCCAGGTGGACATCCTCCTACTTGAATCATTCTTCCAGCCTTTTTGTTTTGTGCTGATTAAACTCAGGGCCTTGTGCTTGCTAGGCTGGTGCGCTTATCATTTGAGTCCTGCCTCCAGCCTAGCTTTTTTTTTCTGGTTATTTTGGAGATGGAGTCTCACAGGCTTTTTTGCCCCAGCAAAAAACAAAAACACCCAGTGCCTCCATCCTTGATCTCAGCACCTGAGTAGCTAAGATGACAGGAGTGAGCGACCACACCTGGTTTAAACTCTGTGTTTACAACACACTATTCTATCATTTATGTTTCAGGATAAATTATTCTTTCTGGCCAGCTGCCACCACCACCCTCAGATTTGGCCAGGGAGGCCTTTTCAAGGACTCTTCGATGTCCTTTTGATGCCAGCCCACCTTTTGGGAGCTTTGTCTTGCTTTCTGAAGCAAAGAGCACTTGCAGGCTCTCTGGCTATTATTGCTGCAGCTATTCCTCCCAGAGCCTGTTTCTTTTAGGGAATGGTGTTGAGAAACCACAGTCCTCTTACCGCATGTTCTCTGCTGTTGGTGCATCAACGTTTGCTGCTTTGCACAGTCTAAAGACTGCATAACTTCTCTCCACAACAGCTCTACGGACAGAGAGGAGCCTAGTCACTACATAGGGAAGGGTCAGCTTCCAGTCACTACAGCATTTTGTTCAGACCTCCTATTTGCGGGCTAGTGTGTGTATGTTTGTTTTAAGTGAACTTCCTCATGTCTGTCCCTTTAGTCCTATCTGTTAGGCTTTACTGTCTCCATTTTTGGTTGAGGAAACTGAAATTTAATATAAACTACTCCCTTCAAGTCACATGCCTGGGTGGGAATGTGAGTGGTGTGTGTGGTGGTGTGTGCTCATGTGTGTCTACATTGAGCGCCCGCTGACCTAGAGTGCAGTCTCACTCGCTACAGAATCTAGTCTTGTAACTACAGTGTGTTGAGTGCTACAACAGTGGAGTACGCGATTTAGCTGGGGGCATGGTGGTGCATGCCTGTAATCCCAGCTACTTGAGGTCAGAGGCAGGTGGATCCAAAGTTCAAGGCCAGCTTGGGCAGAGTAGTAAGACCCTATTATTAAAAAAAAGAAAAAAGGAGAGTGTAGCTCAGTGGTAGGTTGCTTGCCTAGCATTCACGAGGCCCTGGGTTTAATGGCAGACCAGAAGAGGAGGCAGGGGGAAATTTCCAGAGGCTTCCATCTCAGTGGGAGCCTAAGGGCTGAAGGGGAGTCTACTGTTGGGAAAGGGTGGCGTGGGGATTGCTGAGCGGACAGCAGGAGTCAGCAAAGGCCTGGGGACCTGGGGCTCCAAGGACAGACCGGCAGGGAGAAGAGACTCTGCGATTTACTGCGGTCTAGCTTGCTGCCATCCCTTTTACAGGATTTGACCCTCTACCTCAGGGTCATAGTTCACTGCCCTAAAATCCACCTGGTCTCTTCCTGTTCCTCCTTCTGCCCAGTACCACCCAAAACAAAGACACGAAATGTACCAGTGCTGGCGCTCACCTGCTGCCACAGCCACACCACTCCAGAGTATGGCATTCTTAAGAGAAGCTGTGGACAAAGCGGGTATGTGGGAATCCCCCTAGCTTTCTGCTCAGTTTCCTCCACACTGAAGCTGCTAACAGCAGTCTCTGCTTTTTCTTCTTCTTCTTCCTCTTCAATACTGGGATTTGAAGTCATTGCTCTACCGCTTGGACAATCCTCCCAGCCCGAAGTCTATTCATTTTTAATAATTACTTTATTGTTGTGATAGAGGTGATGTACAGAGGTATTACAATCGCATCAGGCACTGAGTACATTCCCTTTTGTACTGTGTCTTCTGTTCTCTCGTTTGGTCCATTCATGTTTCAAGTGTGTTTATGCTTCTGACATCATTGAAGCTTCAATCTGTGATCAGGAGTTCTAGGCCAGACTGGGAATGTGGCTTAGTGGTAGATTGCTTGCCTAGCATGCATGAAGCCCTGGGTTCGATCCCCCAGTACCACATAAAAAAGAAATCCAGTGACGCTGTGGCTCAAGTGGTAGAGTGCTAGCCTTGAGCAAAAGAAGCTCAGGGACAGTGCCCTGAGTTCAAGCCCCAAGTTTAAGGACCCCTGATTACACTTTCCCAACCAGCACCTGTGGAGGTTTCCAAATCCTTATCTTTCTCTGGAGGTGAACTTGGGAGGCTTGAGGTCTGAGGCCACCGTGGGCAAATGCACAAGACCTTATCTAAGAACAAAGCAAAAGCAGGGGAGTGTTTGCTTAGCAAGTCCTAGGCCCCAGAGTTCAAAACCCAGTGCCACAAAAACAATCAGCCAATCAATCAATCTGGCTCCATTCCGGCACCTCCTTCCTCACACCAATTCACTCAGCGCCTTGGAGAGGGGTCCCTTGAGGGTTTCAGTAATGGCAGAGGAGGGTGAGGGTAGCTCACGTTTTTTTTACACTTCACATCTGCTGACAAAGTGTAAGTTCTGATGGCTAGCTCTCGGATTGGGTAAATCACTTCGCGTCTTCAGCCTCAGTTTGTACAGCCGTATGCAAAACAAGGAGAATGAAAGTATCTGGCACATGAGGTTGCTGGGGGTCAAGCGGCTCACCTGAGACACCAAGACAGAGCTTGCTCTAGACAAAGTCAGGGATCCAGCAAGTTTGCCTTCAGGTAAATTCAGGTTGTAGGTCAGGTAGCCAAAACCACGGGAAGCACAGGAGACCACTGCAGTTCTCTATCTGACCAGTAAGTGGCGCTCTTCCCCTATCTGATCAAGGCAGTGTGCAAAGGGAAACAAATTTAGGACTGGAATTTTTTTCTAGCCTGCTGAAATATCTTGTTTCCTCTTACTGGGTTAATCTGTCCTCTAACTTCTAGAACATACAGAATATTGTTCTAAGAACTTTCTATGTACTTGGCAACTAATACTCTTAGCATGTCTTTCCTTCCCCTACCCCCCAAATACTGGTTGTGTTTTCCTGCTAACATGGGGTATTTTACCTTGTTGAGTCCTGACACTGTTTTTCTGTTTGTTTGTTGTTTGGCAATAATGGAATTTGGACAGGTGTGAGCCACCCACCACGCCTTGCCACGTGCTGAAAATTTTAGAAATATTCTTCATCTTTCTTCCAGGCCCAAACCAGTTTGCCGGGAACGTTTTTTCGTATTTTTTAGAACTTGCATTTTAAAAAGCGTTGTCAGATTGGATCCAAGTGGTGTCAGATTGGAACGCATTCTGCCCTCTTGCTGAGGGCTTCCGAGGCAAGGTCTGGAGGTGCGTGCATGGTGAAATTTTCCACGGTGGTGAGCAGGCAGGATCGGAGTTATTCCCAGCCTTCTGCGAGCTCTGGGATCCGTCCTCTGCTCATCGAGTTTGCTCCCAGGCTTCCATTTTGCTCCTGTGCCAAAGATGAGGAGGGGTGGGGGAGGGCAAGAGAGAGGGAGGGAGGGGTATCCTATGCCCATCTCCAGGGCTCTGTGTGTGGCCACTGTTGCTTAAATTCAGTGGAAGAGTTCATGTATTAATCAATCTCCAAACACGAATACCATACCGGCCTCTGCTTCGCTGGCTGACCACTGGCATGGATTCTTGTTATCGCAGTGAAAGAATGCATATAGATTACTTATATACAACAGGTATGTACGTATATATGTACAGAATACCTTGTCAAAAATATATGGGGCTGGGCTGTGCTTCACGAAGCTAGCAGTGGGTTCTGGATTCAATCCCAACTTTTTTGTTGTTGTTGTTGGTATCACTGGGGTTTGAACCCAGGGTCTCAGGCTTACTTAGCTTGAGCTTTACCACTCGATCCACACTGCCAGCCTGTTTCTTTTTGCTGTTTATTTTGGAGATGGAGTCTAACACACTTTTCTGCCTGAACTGGTCTTGTGCAGGGACGTGTCTAGTAGACAGAGACGTTCCTTGCTGTCCACAAGAAGGGGACCCTAGAGAACACACGTCCAGCTGGAAGCTACGCCTGCCTTTCAATGAACGTCTTCTGGGCGGTCTCCTTACACATGCGCAGAGTGCGAAGGGGAGGATGTTTGTTTCACTTCACACTGGACTGAGGTACCAGAACTAGATCCCATGCCTGTGTCTGTATGGCTGTGTGAGCCAGGGAGCCCTGGGAGACAGGGAGAGGGCACAAGGGGCTTCCTGGGGTGTTGATGCTGTCATCTTGATTGTGATGATGGTGTGTCTGCAGGACTGAGCTGAGGAGGGTGTTCCTGTGTTCAAGCCGTAACTCTGACTTAAAGAAACCACACTTGGGGGCTGGGATGTAGCTCAGTGGCAAAGCGCTTGCCTAGCAAGCGCAACGTCCTGGGTTCGATCCCCAGTACCAAAAAAGAAAAGACAAAAAAAAAATACAGTTAAAAAAAAAAAAAGAAACCACACGTGGGAGTCCATTGTAGTGTTGTTTGTAACAACACAAGGCAACATCTGAAATACTTAGCCATAAGGAACAGTCAAATCAATAGTGGTATATCTATAACAATGGAGTACTATACCGGCGCCAAAAAGGCAGAGGTGGATTAGATGTTTATGTCCTGAGATAGCATACTCCTTAAGAATATTGTTATGTGGGAAACAGTGTGTGTGGTATTTACCACTGATGATACACATCATAGGATCTGTACCATGTGATCTTTATCATTAATGGTAAATAAATAAGTTATACATGTTTATCCATGTGTATGGTATTTCTGAAAAAAGTCTAACAAGAATAGTTTCTCTGGAGAGGTATAAATAATAGCCAAGGCTAATGAGAAACTGTGAATTTCACTTTATACTCCTCCACACTACACCAAGTTATTTCCCACTTCAAGGGCTGGGAAGGTAGCTCAGTGGTAGAGTGCTTGCCTTGCATGCATGAGGCCCTGGGTTCCATTCCTCAGCACCACATAAGCAGAAAATGCCAGAAGTGGCACTGTGGCTCACATGGTAGGGTGCTATCCTTGAGCTGAAGAGCTGAGGGATAGTGCCCAGGCCCAGAAAAGAAAAGAAAAAAAAGAAATACCTGAGCTGGATGCCAGAGGCTCCCGCTTATAATCCTCACTATTCTGAAGGCTGAGAATCACAGTTCAGAACCAGCCCAGGCAGACAAATCCAAAAGACTCTTACCTCCAGTTAATGAGCTAAAAGCTGGAACTGAAGGCTTGGTTCAACTGATAGAGCACCCAGGGGGACTCGCAATCCCTCTTAAAAGTCAGGTACATTGCCAGGCACCGGTGGCTCACACCTCTAATCCCAGCTACTCAGAAAGCTGAGATCAGAGGAATGGTTCAAAGCCAGCCCAGGCAAGAAAGTCCGTGAGACTCTTATTGCCAATAAACTATTCAGAAAAAGCCAGAGGTGGTGCTAGGTCTCAAGCGGTAGAGCACTAGACTGAGCACAAAGAGGCTCAGAGACAGTGCCCAGGCCCTGATTCAAGGCCCAGGACTGGCAAAAAAAAAAAAAAAAAGGCCAGGTATACTGAAGTATAATTTATGTCCAATAAAATCCACTGTTTTAGTAGAAAGTTCTGTGTATTTTGGCCAATATGAACAGGTGAATAATGTCCACTCTAGTCAGGGCTGTGAAACTTTGTTATCATACACACCCCCAATTTTCTGATTTCCTTTCCTTGTCTATCTTCCCCTCACCTCCAGCCCTGGTCACTACCTCTGTAAGTGGAATCATAGAGCATGGTGGCTTTTGAGACTAGCTGTGTCTACCTAGCCTGATGGTTAAGATTCATGTGTGTGTGAACTGTGTGTGTGTGTCTGTGTCTTGAGGTTTGAACTCAGGATCCGGGTGCTATCCCTAAGCTTTTTTACTGAAGGCTGGTGCTCTACCACTTGAGTCATAGCTCTACCTCTGGCTTTTGGGTTGTTGATCAGAGATAAAAGTCTCACTGCTGCCCGGACTGGCTTGGAACCACGATCCTCAGATCTCAGACTCCTGATTAGCTAGGATGAAAGGCATGATCCAGCTGTGTCCAGCTGAGATTCATTCTTGCTATTGTCAGCATCCTGCTGGTACTAATCCAAGGTATGGGTGGACCCCGTTCGGAAGCCATCTTGAGGACACAGAAAGAAGGAAGACGGCTTGACTAACCAAACAGGCTCCACGCGGCTCGAGTTCACTGCATTACATTTGCTCCCACTGGGCCAAGTTCCATCCGGTCTTTCTTTCCTTGTTACAGAGGAACAGATAGGCGTTTTCTGTGCCCCGACAAGGTCTGTGCATTGGGAAACTCATGTTCCCTCTGTTGATGGCTTGATTTTTTTTTTCCTTAGCAGTGTTGGGGATCAAACCTAAGGCCTTGGACTAGGGGGTGAGGGGGGGGTAGTGCCCAAGTGGTAAAGCTCTTGTCTAGCAAGTGTGAGCCTCTGAGTTCACCCCCACCCCCCATGCACACGAGAGGCGGGTGATTGGTGGCTCGCCCATGCATGATGGGCTTTAACTTCGAACCCCACTGGTCTCAGCAAGCAGGTGAGCAAGAGCCAGGCCCAGGGTCTCTCTCCCAGGCTTTATGACAGCGGTACTGAGTCACAGAGGCAAGTTGGCCTTTCAAGTATGGCCTTCGCTCCCTCCCTAGGATGCCTTTGCCCCTTGGGTAGAGTTTTACCTGTGTGGGGCAGGTGGGGGACAATGGAATTTCTTGGAACCACTCAGACAGCCAGCTACTGCAGCCCAAAGAAAGCATGTGGCCCGGGCTCGCTGCCCCCTGCCATGCAGCAAGAGTGCTACCAGCCCTATCACCTACCCGGGTATCGCTACCTCAACTCCTGGAGACCCGGCGTCTTCTACAAGACCTCCACCACCCAGCTGTGCCCCGAGGAGTGCCGCCCGGCCCTGCGACCCCCGTCCATGCTGCCCTCGCTGCGGTCCTCCCTCTTCTGCCGCTACAGCACCCACGATTGGGAGCAGTCCAACGACCTGCAGCTCCGCGGGGCCGAGGCCTCCAATCTGTGGGCCAGCCGGATGACCAACGACTCGCTGCGGCTCATGCAGGACAAGGAGCAGCTCACGCGCCAGATGCAGGAGGGGTCCACCCGGAACCTGAGCCAGAGGCTGTCGGACATCGGCTTCTGGAAATCCGAGTTATGTTACGAGCTTGACAGGCTCCTGGTGGAGAGCCGGAGCATGGATAATATCAAGAGGCGGCTGGAGTGTGCAGCTGAGCAAGTGAACTCTCCGCTGCAGGTAACTGAGGGGGGCGGGCGCAGGGGGCCGGCTGGCCGCACGCCACCAGCCACCCTGGGCAGGCGCTGACTGGAGAGCACCCAGAAGGCTGGTTTCAACTGGATCCTCCAGTATGATCTTTTGTTTTTCTTTTGCCAGTCCTGAGGCTTGAACTCAGGACCTGGGACTGTCCCTGAGCTCCTTTTGCTTGAGGCTAGTACTCTACTACTTGAGTCACAGCGCCACTTTTTGCCTGGATGTGGTACTGAAGAATCAAACCCAGGGCTTCATGCATGCTAGACAAGCGTTCTACCACTGAGCGAACTTCCCATCCCCCTATTTTTTTGGGGGGGGAGGATTTTTAATCAGAGGCAATTCTGGATACTATCCAAGAAATGGAAGTTTTCCAGACTGAATGGAATTGGTTGTGTGTGTGTGTTTCCTCCCTAGGTTTACATGAGCATTTACAGGCTTTATTTAGACATTGAGAGGCCAGGCCTAGTGATTCATGCCTGCAATCCCAGCTACTTGGGAGATAATGGGACTAGGAGGGTTGTAATCTGAGGACCAAAGTGAGCACCTGACATGCTCTGAAAAAAAATGCACTTGCCAGGCACCTTGGCTCACGCCTGTCAACCTAGCTACTCAGGAGGCTGAGAGCTGAGGATCAGGGTTCAAAGCCAGCCTGGGCAGGAAAAGTCTGCCAGACTCTTATCTCCAATGAAAACGAAGTGGTAGAGCGCTCACCACAAGCTGAAGAGCTGAGGGACAGCATCCAGGCCCAGAGTTCAAGATCCACGACCAAAAAAAAAAAAAAGTGCACTAAAACCAAAAAGAGTGGAGCATGGTTCAAATGAGAGGGCCAGGCCCTTCAATCCCCAGTGCAGAAAAAAGAAAAAAAGACATGGCTCATGCTTCCCTACCCTGCCGCCCCCCTCCTCTTCTTCCTCCTCTTCCTCCTTCTCTTCTTTTTCTTCTTCTTCTTCCAATCCTGGGGCTTGAACTCAGGGCCTGGGCACTGTCCCTGAGCTTCTTTTGCTCAAGGCTAGCACTCTACCACTTGAGCCACAGCACCACTTCTGGATTCTTCTGCTTATGTGGTACTAAGGAAT